GAAAGCCGGGTCCTAACGCAGAGTGACAGCTCCTGCTCGTGGGACATTAACCTTGTTTGTCACTCGGCTGTCTCCAGACGCGGACCCCGGGCTCTGGAGCAGATGGCTGCCGTCCCCCGCTCCGGTCACTCCCTGGGGATTCTCGTCCCGCGGCTCCCGGAGCAGCTGGGGAGGGCCGGGGGAGACGCAGGACACGTGGCCCCAGCTGCCACCCTGTCCGTGGGGCCGTGGCTCCCCGGAGCCCTGCCGGTGTCCCCTCTCACGGGGCTGGATGATGCCGAGTCCCTCGGCGTCAGCCCTGCTCTGGATCCCGTCTGTGGAATTACTTGAATGGAAACCACCAGGCTCATTGCAGCCCACACTGATGAGCACGGGGGAAAGGAAGTGGATTCCAGGGGTTTGTCTGGATGTGGAACAGCCACTGGCCTGTGTGGGTGTACAGGGGGATAAAATACAAGAGAAGTATAACAAAAATCTGCAGTGAGATTTGGGAAGGTTACTTGTTGTGGGATGGATGGAATTATGCTGGATTTAGGCTGTCAGTACTGTCAGATATTTAATCAGGTGTGACAGGGAATGGGGAAGAACAGAAAAATGGGTTTATGGGGATATTTCTTGAGGGTGCTGTGGCCAACCTGGGGTCTTGGGAGCAGGGGGACACGGCCTGTCAGATGGCTTAAATCTCAAGGAGGGATTTTTCTCATCCCACTCTTTCCAGTTGTGAGGTATCCAGCTGTGGACCAGATCCTGCTGAGAACACACTTGGCACGGTGGGTACAAGGGGCTCAGTGTCAAAGGCAACACTTCTTCAGCAAGGAATTAGAAACATTCCTTTCAATACCCCTCTCTGGGTAGATTTATCTGCAGGGATCAGCAGCAGGACAATTAACAGCGTGACCTCCTTCTGTGCGTTCCAGCACGCTGGTAAATCTCCGTTATTAACTTCCAAGGAGCTCTGCCTGCCCGGTCATTAACTGGCCTGTTCTCCTCTCCAGGATGGAGGAAAACGTGTCACTGGGGCAAGATCTACGACCTGAATCCTCTTGGCAGGGGTGACTCTTTCCCTGCTTGGTCCTGAAATCCCTTGGGAGCACAGGGATGGAGGAATGTTCCTGGGAAACCCCCAGGATATCCAAAAGGACACCCTGCCCGTGAGTCTGTGCTCCTAGCAGCAGGGCTGGTAGCAGGGGGGGGCTTTGGGGGGCTTTTGGGAGAAAATCTGGGGAGAAAGTTTTGGGAAAATTTTGGGAGAAGCCTTGCTTTTCCCTGCCCATGAGTGGGCAGTGGCCCCAGACTGCATCCTGAACTTTGAACTGATTAGATTTCCAAGGGGGAAGGAAGGATGTCTAATTGTTTAATTTCCACAATTAGAAAAATATTTATCAATAATTAGGAGTGATGGCAGCGATTACACTGGGATTAAAGCCAGGCTACACTTCATCACCCGCTTTTCACTCAGGGACCTTATTTATTTCTTTTCACCCCCCAAAAAAAATCCATGTACAGCTGCGTTGCTGCCAATAATGAATCATCCTTATTCACTGCCTGCACAGGACTCATTAATCTGATGATACCAGTGGTTCTAGGAAGGCTGCTGGGCACATTGTGTGGTCACTGGGCTTGGGCAGGAGAAAATTTAATTTCAGTGGGTAGGAAAATGAAGCAGAGCTAAAAATCACAATAGCACTTCCTGTGCCTGTGGTAGAGAGCTCAGTGGTTCAGCCAGCCACACACTCTCTTCCAGACTCCCTGGTGATCTTTCACTCTCATCACTCATCCAAGGCAGGCATGGCTGAGTCCAGGGATCATTTTCCAACTGCTGCTCTTCTAAGATGAAGTTGTACCAATTAATAAAGTTGCGTGACCCTCAAAGTTTTCCATCTCAGAGGAAAATGTCATAGTTTCAGGTATTCTCAGGAGACCCAGGGCAGTCAGTCTTTATGGTCAGGTTCATCCTCCTGTGGAAGTACCTGTGGCCTGTGGCGGTGCCACCTTCAGTGTAATCTGGGTACTCTTAGAACATCCTTGACTCTTGGTTAAGCTTTGTTTTCAAGCAACTTTCCACCAAAACAGCTCCTGGAAGTGTCCTTGGAGGAATTCCTGGGGGCTGGATTAGGCAGGGCTGCACCACAAGGTGTGCTGAGTGCCTGGGATGTGCCAATCTTCCCACAGTTGTGGGGGCCATGAGCTGTGTCCTGGCTAGGTCTGTGGTTCCTTCAACTCCTGTTGGCTTAAATTTAGAGGAAAATCTCAGTTGTGGGTTAATGAAGCTGCTGCAGGGAGTTAAGACAACTTTCCCACCGGAGCAGAAGTGTCACTGTCACCCGATGGATGAGTCCCATCACCACTTGCAGCTCTGCAGTGGACGTTTGAACGCGTGTTCCTTAAGTGTTTCTCAAGTAGGTTGTTCCAGGCAGCTCTGATGGGAAAACAATGGGCTGCAGCTTCCAGCTGGCAGATTATTCCTGTTATTTTTGCCATTTGTGGATGTTTCAAAGCTCTCGTGTGCTGTCAGTACGTGCTGAGATCCAAGAGGTCTGTGTGGAGCAGAGGACAGGAAGTTTGACATTCTAAATTTATTATTTGTAAGGACTCCTTAGTGCTCTCAGGCTGTTGTAGAGGTCCTTGGCACACAGTGAGGTGGGAACTGTGGGACCAGGGCAGGTTAAAGTGGAGGTTCAAAGGACTGAGCCTTGCAGGGGTGATGGAGTTTCTCCACATCACCAAGAGCATCAGGCACAGCCCAGGTTTCCATGATTCCTCCTGTACAGCCAAAGCCAAGCAGAAGAGAAGGATTTGGTTTAAAGCAGTGAGAAAGGATTTTGCAGTTCCTCACAAGCTGTTGCAGCTGTGGGAGGTAGAGAGGGATGGGAACAGTTGAGGTGAGAGCTGATCACAGGGATTTGTATATCCTGAGGTGTGACAGGGAGGAGAGAGGTGTGAGGGATGGTATCAGCAACAAAAGGCTCTGCTGCAACCCCAGGCACCCAGCTCTGGCCGGATGCAGAGGACTTTCACACAGGAAAGGTCAGAGAGAAGCCACTTCCTGTCAGGTTTTTATAGTCTCCACAGAATTACTGACATAAACTCCTTTGCAATGTGATACTTAAATATTTGAGCTATTTTTCTACTTTTAGAATAATAGAATTCCAGGATGGTTTGGGTTGGAAGGGACATTAAAACTCATCAGCTGCACCCCCTGTCAGGGCAGGGATACCTTCCACTATCCCAGGTGGCTCCAAGCTCTGCCCAACCTGGCCTTGGACAATTCCAGGGATCCAGGGGCAGCCCCAGCTTCCCTGGGTAACCTGTTCTGGGGCCTCACCACCCTCACAGGGAAGGATTTCCTCTGTTTTCCCACTCAGTTTGAGGCCCACTGAAGAAGTAGAAGTGCTGTAAGAGCTTTTAGGAGGGAGTACAGTTCATTTGTGACTCTCCACAGCACTCAGTATGTACTTAGAGATTTTTCCCCTCATAATTGATGCATGTGGCATTTCCTCCTGCTGAAATAGGCCAAGAGAACCGGGCAGCACCGCCAAGCCCGGCTGCTTCATCTGTCTCAGCCTGAGCCGTGCGCGGTGTCCAGTTGGCAGCGAGGATAATCAGCCCAAGGGCAGTGGAAATGCTCATTACAGCACACTTTATTCCTCAGTATTTAATAAGTAATGACTCTGAAAAGCTCGGAGCGGGGTCTGTGCCCGTGCCATCTCCTGCTGTGTTCCTGTCACTATGGATAAGTTAAACTGGGTTGAATCGGGTCGATTTTTGGATGAATACCCACCAAGGAATTTTGAGATGTTGTAAGAAGTTTGGGTTATTGAGTGGGAGATGCTTCTTTTTCTTGACTTACTTTTCCTTTGGGAAAAAGAAGGAGGAAAGCTGGGCACTGCTTTCCACAGCTCAGTGTGTGCACAGAAACCGAGTCCTCTGATGTCCCTCAACAAAGTGAGTCTGGAAGGTAGAAACTCCCACAGGGAACAGCTTAGAAAGAAGCTCTGAAAGCCTGTGTTCCAGGAGCTGTGCCACGGGAGGCTCAGCTGGGGCTGGAAACAGTTGGCGTTACACATGAAGTTCCTGATAGTGATCAAATAATCTTTACTCACTCTGTGAGCAGGTTGATGGATCGCTGCAGATCCAGCAGCTAACCTTCCAAAGCGGGTTGGGGTGAGGTTTCTCTGGGAAGAAAACGTTCCCATTAGCTCAGTGCTTTGGCAATTTGTATCATCTGGTGACCTTGTCAGGAATTCACAGCTGGTGTAAAAGGATCGTCTGTTCCTGCAGCACCTGGGGCCAGCTGGGCCCTGCGCGAGGGTTTGGTGCAGCTGAAGGGGAAGATGCAGCAGGAGGAGGTGGAAGAGGCTCTGTAGAATCTCTGCTTCCCTCTGGAATGGTCCCTCTTTATTCTGGGGACAAGAAGAGAACCATAACCTGGGTCCTTAATCCTCCTGAATGCTGGGCTGTGTAATCTGTTACTCACCCTCTTTTGTCTTGGAGACCTGATTTTCCTTTCTCCTCATGCCCAGGCTGGAACATTTCAGAAACAGTGAAAGAAATGTGGAAAAAAAAAAGGGGGGAGGGGGGAACGTAATGCTTTTAAATCTCAAAGATCAAATACTTGTGTTAATATCTGCTAGAAATTCCTCACAGAGATTTTGGCATATGTCAGTCTGGCACATAACTCCACCACAGCCACCTGCCATCCTGCCTGGAATTGTTTGTAGCTCCTTTGTGTTCTCTGAGCAGCACAAAGCTGTGGCGTGTCTGGTGTCACCACCAAGAAACAGACTCTGCACTAAGCCACGTGACAAACTTCCTTTTTTTCCCATTTAATTACTTTTCCTTGCATCAGCACTGTGTTTTAAGCAGAGCATTTTCCAGTCTAAGGGGTCCCTGAACACAGGAAAACCTAGGGGTGTACGAATGAGGATGTTTTGTTCCAAAGAGAGCAGAGGATTCCAGGATTGGCAGCTAAAATGAAAAGAACACCACAACACCAAGAATTCTTTCACAGCTGCTTTTTGGTTTTCCAGTCTCTGCCAGTTTAATAGCAGGATTTTGCTCCGTACATTCTGGCTTGAGGACTGGCACAGGTCCGACACGTCACCTCATTGTTGGGACTGTAAGTTCCAGGACCACAAACCACTGTGAAGAGAACAGAGTTGGGGTTCCAGCCAGTTTCCCCCCATCTCAGGGGGGCCAGCAGACATCCCCATGAGCCTTCCCAGTGTCCTGTGGGAGCTCCTGCCCTTCCCAGAGCTCCCTGAACCTCTGGCTAAATCCCCCCAACTCTACAACCTGCAGCAGGTGCTGCAAAAGAACTTGAAAAATCAACAGAGAATTTTCTAGCAGGACTTCCATGAAGGGAATTGTTTCTTATGTGCTCTGGATCTTGAGGACTGTCACACACAAGTGACCTGGAAGGAAAAAAACCCACTGCACTGCTTCTACTTTGCTTGGAAATGCAGCTACACCTGTGAGTGCACTGACACGCTCCACTGTCTCATTTCCTATCATTACATTAAATCTACAATGCGAATGTCTTCCCAAAGGATGAACAGAAATATCCCTGCTTTTGACCCCAATATTTCTCTAATCCTCCCCAGAGCTCTGTGCCCAGCACTAATCAGCTATATTTAAATCAATGAGCTATATTTAAATGTATGTATTTTATATTTACCGCAGCAGCTGGCACAGTTCTGGTGGGTGTGGTGGTTTTTCCCAAAACCTGGACGACAGCTGTCGATGGGAGTCATGGAAAAGCTGTTGTCCACATAATGTATTGTAGGAACAGTGGGAAACTCATGCTTCAAATCGTGCCTCAGCTGATGGAAAAACTTCCCAATTCGCTCTGCTGCCTAAAATTCAGAAGTATTGGGAGAATAAAAACATGGTTGGTTGATTGTTGTTGATTTAAAAATATTAGGAAATATTTTCTAGTCCTGATTTCCACACACTGACTTGTCACCTTAATTGTGAGTCTTCCTTGGCTTCAAGGAGCCTGGAATCAGACCTGGGTTGTGAGCTGATCCCAGGATTTAATATTTAAAAGGCAGAGAGAACAGATTTTAGAAACTGGCTACAGTAGACTTACTTTAAATTGCATTCCATTGACCAAATCATAAATTTAAAATTTCATTTAGAGTACTGGGATTTCGATATAAATAATAATGTTTATCCTTCTTTATTATTAGAAGCAAATACAAAGCAAGTAATGAGCCTGATTTTTTAACTGTTGTTTTTAAGCTATTTGTATCAATTTTACTTCTAAACCCATTTTTCTTCCTGAATGGAATTATTTAAAATCCACAAATCATCATTTACAATATTAATCCCACAAAATCTGGGTAAAGATGGATTACTACCAGTCATATCTGCAGGAGCTAAGGCAGAGGTGGGGTTAAAGAGGCAGAGAAGACACGAGGTGACTGACACAGAACCTGTCGGACTTTCCTGTTTGTCACATCTTCACAATCGTAAGGATCCTTGTGGCAAAATTCTTCCCATTCTGGTACAAATGGATTGACTGTGGATGGAGCAAAAAAGATCCATGGAAAAGGGGGGGAAAGATAGATTTAGGTCCTTGTGGTTTCTATCCAGTTCCTTCCTTTTTTTAGTAAGAGTCAGAGGTCAACCAATATAAAATTGGGGATGAGGGGGGAAATATGCTAAGCTGAGGTAATGGAGCTAATTTCTCACATAGCACCTTCAGCGTCCCGAAAGAGCTAAAGTTTTATGTAAAGCTAAAAATCTTTGGGTCCTCAGTTTGTCATGAAAGTTTCTTGACTTTACTTAGGGGAAAATATCCACAAAACTGTTCCATAACCTGTTGGATGGTCCCTCTTGGTGTGTGGTAAGAGCAGATACAGGAGTGAAAGTGGTCAGATAATTAAAGAACAACTTCCTTCCCTCAGTGATAAACCATCTCTAACTCAAGGCTGCATCAGGGCTGATTTGTTTGTGAGGTTAAACCACCTCAGTATTGCCATGAGGGAGCTGTGAGGTTTTTGCTTTGGCTCTGTGCAGTTTCCTGGAATCAAGAAAAAAATTCAAGGCTGGATTGGATGGGACTTTCCTCTTGGTCTAGAGGAAGATGTCCTTGCCTGTGGCAGGAGGGGAACTGAATGAGCTTTAAGGTCCCTTCCTACCCAAACCATCCTATAATTCTAAAATCAGAGTGGTCTCAGGCTTACTAAAAATCAAATACTAAAAACCGAAATATGACAGTGACATTAGGGCATATTATGGGCTGTCTCCTTCCAACCATCCTCTCTAACCTTGGTGATAGCTGCTCTCTCTAGGATTGTAAAAAGTTGAACACTACTTTTAACCTAAAAACTGCGTTTTAGCTCCATCTGTGGGTAACAAAAAAAAATTACAGGGACTCCAAAAAAAACCCAAACCAAACAAAAAGAATCCCAAAACAAACAACCAAACGACCGACCAAACAACCAATCAAACACCAAAACAATCAACCAAACAGAAAACAAAAACAAAAATAAAAACAAAAAACAAAACCAAAACCAAGCCAAAACCAAAAACAACCCCCAAAAAACTAACCAAAAAAACCCACCACCCACACACAATCAAAACAAAGACCCCAGAACAACTTTCAGAGGTACTCTTGACTCTGCTGTTCTTCAGTGTTTATAGCACTCACAAGTTGTTCATAACAATAAATGATCCCTCCCAAATAACTGAAATCGGTTACCTAGAAAATTAACAAACAGCTCATACTGGAGGCTGTTCTTTGGTGTCCTGATAGAGTGGCACTTGTAGGACGACTCTGTGATGTGGCAGTTCAGGTAGGAGATGGTGCTGCTGAGGATTTTGGCTAATTTGTCGACGAACAAGTCGTTGATTTTCAGTCTGCAGTGCACTGTTCTAAAGCGAACAGACACCTGATAGGCATGGTCAGCTTCCCTGTAGGCTGGGAGGAAATAGCTTGGGTGTGAATCTGGGGTGTAATCACAGATCAAATCTTAGATTATCAGTTCTTTGTATCTGAAGCATGGGCTTTTATTCAAAATTAAGTAAACAAATAAAGCACAGTCATTAATTATGTCACAACACGTTCATCCTAGACAGAGCTGACTCAATAGTAAGACACATTTTAGTTTGATGTATACAGGAATTTAGGTACTTACTGGAAATTCTGTTCCCAAATAATAAAAACAAAACAGGAGGTGAATAGTAAAATGGCACAGAACCAGCATGTCTACAAAGCTGTGTGTCTGAAATGGATTGGTGCCAATTCTATGCAATTATGGTGTAGGAGTAATTTTATTATTATTTTAAAAGTTGGTGTTTCTCAAGTATTTTTGGGTTGTTATGTTGTGGGTGGGAAGTGATGTTGATGAAGAGTAGTTACAAGACATGGAAGGGGCTGGATGCAGATCTCAGATAACTCTGGAATTCTTGCAGTTAATGCTGTACCTAAGGGTAGAGATTATTTTATTGCCATGCATTCTTGGGAGCAGTAATATTAAACTTTTCCCAAAACCTTGAGAGGGTTCATGTCTATGTATAAATAAAAAAAAAATATATTTTCTATTCTGGGATAAAATTTTAACTAATTATTTTGGTGTTTTTTAAATCAAGCATTGCAATAAACACAGAGTACAGAAACCTGCCAATCTACAAAGGCCATGTGCTTGCTCCTAATTTAGCAATCTTACCATAAACCATGAATTTATAAGCTTCAACAATTTCTGTTTCTTCCTGTGTTGTAGTTTCGATGACTCTGTGGGAGAGAGTACAAGTGTAGGCACCAGACATCGACACCATGAAACCCATCACCATCAGCTTCCCTGACTCTGTCAGATTCACATATCCTTGCCCTAAAACAGAAATATTGGGTTACTGGAAATGTCCACTTTCTGATGTATTTAGAATATTTGAAGATGAAATCTTGCTCTTGTGCATAATGATGCTGGTTAGTGTTAACCTGGAAAGATCTAAAATTTATTACTTTCAGGATTTACTACAAATTTCCTTTTAGCTCAAGTATTTGGAACTTCTAGAGGGAGAAGAGAAACAGAGTTTAATGTCAGAACTTGTGGAAATATCTGGCAAAAGCCTAAGGAACTATTTGGAACCACTGAGGGGTGTGAATAGAAACAAGGAAAATATGTGATATTTTTAGCCTGAACTAACCTTGTAAATCTCTTCCATCTGGACCAATCCACAAATAGTTGGGATCTATTACTCTTTCTTGAGAAAGAGCCAAGTCCATACAGACCAGGAATGGGCTGTTCGTGAACACCTTAACGTACACATTCACTGCAATACAGAAACAGGTAAATGATTTAAATGCTGGTATTGAATGAAGTCACAAAAAAAACCCCAAAAACCCTAATTAAAAACTGTGTTTAAAGTGTATTTTTCAGTTTTCGACTTGCAAAGTGTAATATTAAAGATTAATCTCCATTTGTTCTTAATTAGTATCCTGGAACTGTCCACAGTGTGGCTGGTGCTGACTGTTAGAGGGAGACACGTGTATCCCACACACAAACTGTGGTGCAGGAGGTAAAAAAAGCACACAATTTTTCACTGAAACCCTCATTTAGATATTAAATTTTCATCAGTGCTTCCAGCAGCACTGTGGGATAAATATATTTCCATCCCCATCTCCTTTCTCTTGTTCCTGTGTATACAAGGTTCCACGTATACTGGTGCTACATAATGATCCCTGGGCTTAAAATCCCAAATTCCAGTGAAAACTAGATATAGATAGAAAAAAGGACAAATTTACCTTCATGCCTGGTGTCACCATAAACTTCATTCTTTCCAATTAAATCAATAGATTGCTCTTCCTTCGGTTCTGCTCTCACTGTAGGGAAAAGTAATTGGAATATTAGAGATCAGTCTAAATGTGTGATTGTTGATCCTTTATTTCACCCTGTTTTTTGCCTAGTTTTGTTTCTTTTGTCTTACTTTCCTTTTTTCCCCATGCTTTTTTCTTAGCAGCAAGCAGGAGTCCTTGTTTTTGACCTGTCACTTTTTCATTGTTTTAGTGCCTATGTTACAAACCTGCCTGGATGTATCATGTTCCAAACCAGATGAGCCTTCCTCTTTATAACTGGAGTAGTTATAAAAATGATAACGTTTTTATCAAAGCTCTGTAGTGTGACCCTGAGATGACACAAGGTAGGGATCTCTCAGCCCTTTCCCTTCTGCAGAACAGCAGATTAGTGCCGGGCACAAAGGTTTCTGTGACAAGAATCCCCAGGAGAGTGAAAATTATTGGAAATAGAGTTTTTTTCAAGCCATGGGCACACTGGGGTGGTCCTGCCCGACTGTTGTGTCCCAGGGTTAGGCTTGGGGGACAGTGGGGTGTCACTGGAACCTGTGCCAACCCCTCTTAAGGGTCTTCATTATCCACTCTGAGGGAAGGTTCTGGGGGGACAACTGGAGCAGTACCCATCAATGGGGTGTTAATGGAGCCCACCTGTCCACTTTTTGGGGGCTTCATCTCCCACTCTGAGGTAAAGCTTTTTGGGGACATTTGTCCCCCACACCCACCAGTGGCGTGTCGCTGGAGCTCACTCAGTCCCCTCTACCAGGGCCTCCATCTGCCACTCTGAGGGAAGGTTCTGTGGGCACTCCCCCCCCACACTCAGCAGAGCGGGACCCTCTGACGGGCTCCGATCCCCTCTACCACCCTCCGAGAGGACCGGCCCCACACCAGCACAACCCTGCTTCCCACCCCTAG